TTGCAGCTGAGAGGCTGGCAAGTGAGGCAGCGAATGTTGGAGTCTGCAGCAAGCAAGCCTCGTGCTCGCTTCAGTGCCTGGCTGCCGGCCGCCATCCTTGGCTGACGTTAATTTGCATATACTCACTGATTAGCCAATGAAAAGGGTAGGGGTCGTACGCTAATTACCATGTTTCTCTTTTATTAGTGTAGATAAAAGGCTAAGGCTAAGCGATCGTCCAACCGGCCCACCGACCCACTGGCCAACCAGCCCACTGGCCCACTGGACCACTGGCCAGTAGGCTATGATGTGCATTGGCCATTGATGAATCTCAGAGGAAAGGGGGGTTGCGGAGAGGGTGGGAAGAGATTAACCAAAGATCTTATATGCATACTAGAGGACTGTGGTGTCCCTCAGTCTGGCCTGTGGGAATAGAGTGAAAATAATAATTTTTACTAAGATACCATTCTATCTAACATCCCCCGAGGGGTCTCAGATTGCAAGAGGGTGCAGGCCAGGCCAAGGGACTCCACTGGTGCATGAATCGGTGACCAGGAAGTGACAGGAACCTATACTGGCTGGATTGGGTTATGCTTTGACAGGTTTGCATGTGGGGAAATCTCTCAGAGTAGGAGTCTGTCCAGACGCTATTGAGGGGTTAACATGTTTAGGGCACCTGGTGATGTTGTTCAGCAGAAAGTCTTTGAGCCAGAAAGCTCTGAAGAACAGTCAAAGCTTGGAGTCTTTTAAGCGTAGATTTACCTTATCTCTGCTGGCAGGTGTTGGGTGAGGTTTCTCGGAGTATGCAAAGCAGGTTATCTCTATTATGACTAAAAATCTGCTTGTTTGAGCTATTTTTAAAACAATTGAATGTCTAAAAGTTTGACAGTGGAGGGATTTTGAACTAAGAGGTTTCAGTCTGCAGTAAAAAATAACCAATTTTGGCTTAGGGACCAAAACACAGAGGCCATCTTCTGGCTCATTTACATAACAATTATGCTTCCAGTTCTGTGGGTCAGGATTTCCATCAGAATATAGTGAGAATGGCTCATGTCTGCTCCTCATTGAGTTCTCATCTGGTATAACTGGGGCTTGCATGGTTAGAGACAGGTAGATGAGTCACCTAGCTCAGATATCTGATGGAGCCTCAGTTCTGAC